AAATTATTTTTCTTTTCAAAGGTGTTTTTCTATTCAAGAGACATGTTTACATTAGCTGGTCTTCGAGATGAAAAGGTCTTTTGGGGTATATTGGCAACAGGTGTGATCAACTTAATCGCCACTCTTGTTGCTTTGAAATTGATTGAATTATGGGGTCGTCGTCCATTGATCATCTGGCCATTAGCTGCAATTATTGGCGTCATGATTGGCTTGACAATTTTCATTGTTGTCAATGTAAGTTTGGAAAACAATTCATGTTATGCACTTCAATGAATCATGAATGTTTAGGGCAAAAATGCTGAAAATCAGAGGGAGGCATTAGCTATCGTTAGTATTGTATTTATTCTTATTTTCATTATCTTATTCGCAATTGGTCTTGGTCCTATTCCATATGTTTTCTCGAATGAAGTGTTTGCAGTCGAAGCACGTGCTGCTGGACTTTCATTGGCAATGTTTGTGGTATGATATTATTCATCTGAGTGTATATTCATTCGATGAAAATCTTTCTATTTAGAATTGGTTTTGCAATTTCTTAGTTGCTCTACTGTTCTTGCCGCTTCAATCTGCTATCGGTGGATATGTCTTTCTGATCTTTTGTATATTCGTGGCTATCGCATTTGTTGTTCTATTTTTCAAGGTAAAATCGAGAGTTTGACGGATATTCGTTTCATTCCAATCGAATTTGGTCTTTGTTTTAGATGCCTGAAACTAAAAGTAAGATACTACCTGAAATTGAAGCATTTTGGAAATGAACACAATCAAAAGAAGAAACAAATTATATCACTGATGACTCTAATCTATTTTTGTTATGTTTAACTGTATTTACTTTTGTTCTTTTCTGGTTTATGTGTTAAAAATCATGAAAGTATTGACGCACGACTTCACTTCTATCTGTAGAATAGGAATATTGTAAAATAGTTTTGAATCAGAGCTCTAAATATTGCAAGATACTTTGACTTGCACGCTTTTATATTATAAAATGGAAACAGTTAAAAGTCATATGCACGAAACATTCGAAAACACTTTTAATCTGTGCGAAATGTACTTTCATGAAACTTCGCATTTCATATCCAATTTCAAATACGAATTCGATATCATCAACATGATATCAATATACGCATCTAGTTGCAAACATTTTTCTATGTGAACTTACCTGTATTTTCATATTTTCGTAATGGAAGATTCGCATTGAACAGAGTCAGGAAAACTGTCAGATTCTTTCGTTCTTTGCAATGAATATCGATTCTAAATAACACACGAAAATCATAGCTATTTAGGTCAGTATTCCTATGATAAACGAAAAATGTGCACAAAAATGTCCTTCTCATTGAATTTTGTTGAATTGACATTCACTGTTAGAAGAAGTTTACGTCAGCAAAGTCAAAGATTACGGTGAGCAACTTTATTTCATTTCGATATTACAATTATTTATTCTTAGACATCAATTAAAAGCTGATAAGGCTTCATCAATCGATAATAACATTCATAGACAGTTTAATTGCCAGTGAGAAACGCAAATTTTCAAATTTGTCTTTTATCTCACATACAGCTGGCATTTGACAAGAACTAATTCACATCGTAGACTCCTACTCACTGTTCTAACATTTATTCATTAATCAATAACAAACGAAACAACGATTTCAATCCATTCTGCACTCTTTTTGTGTAAAATTTTATAAGCCTATTCTTGCTTAACAAAAAAACTCTTTGTGAATATATAACTGACGGTAATTGGATACAGGAGTCACTCGAAGAGAGGGTCATGAAGGTAAGCTGAAGTTCGATAAAAATTATGGATATACGAAACGAAAAATAAATGTCGCTCTTAACCGATATGTCATCTTTATTGATGTTAATATTTGTCTTTTTTCCTCTATTCACATTATACATGATGGATCGTCAAGGTTTTTTTATCTGTCTGTACGTATTTCGATTGAATTTGTTTTCAATTTATCGATAAGTGACAGATGGCAATCGTTACTCGTCTGATTGTGATTACATATATGAGAAGCGTTACATTTACTTTTGTTCTTTATTGAGAAATCGCTCTCAAAGAAGGTAATCCTTTTCGAGTTTTCTTCGTTGCTCACGTTTTGATTTTTGTTAAATAAAATCCATTTTTCTTCCCTCTCTCTCTCTTCTCTTCTCTTTCACCGATGTTTATTCTGATTGTTAGTGATTCATTTGTTCTTTATTAATCATTTTTGTTAAGAAAAGAAGAAAAGAACTAGAACAAAGCAGTAGAATAGAATTGCACGACATGTCCCTGCGCTATAATACTTTTCTCCCTCACTTCTCTCAATAGCGTCTGTTCACCGCCTTCCTCCGTCTCTTTCTCTCTCTCTCTCTCAGTGTATACGTTCGAATGTCGATTCCTTTTCACTTTTCAATCGGGCATGTGTACATGTAATACGAAACTTTGTTCTACGATCAATCGTTTGCCTTTCAAATCGTCTAAGAGAAAAATCCATAATTTGCTTTGTGAATGTAAGTTTAAAACAACGATGACTTTTACACGTATGTAAGTTTACGACTGTAGAAAGATAACATTCGATTTGTTTATTTGTTTGTCGTGAGAGAAACTTTGCTCGAATAGCATCATCAAATTCACGTTAAAGATGCACGTATGCACACAGGCATTGCCGATGCGAATTGAGCGTTAGAACAACTCGCACCTGTATGTAGATTTGATACATTAACAATTCTTTTTTTAATGTTAAGTGGAGAAAAAAAAAACGAACGAAATCGAGCTCTTCTTCGTTTGCACTTTCATCATGTATATATGAGCACCATCGTTTTTTTTGATTGATGTGAATATGAGAGAAGGTCGATCTTGAGTAAAGAAAATGAGCATTTTTTTGTAGACACCGTATAATTTGTAGCCTTCTCAGTTTTCACAATTACATCGAATTACGATGACACGCTTTAGTTTTGCAAGTATAAATTTTGATGTTTGTCGAAGAATATACAGGTAATTCATAGTTATGATCAGATTCTTGTGTGTGAATCTTTTTTTTCATCTCGATATGAAAACTTTCAAATGTTAGAACTGACGCGCCAATCAATTTGTAAGGTTTCAGTTAAGTCTCTTCATCTTTTTTACCTTGACAGCGGATGAGTACATTAAAATGACACGATTTCGACGGATTCGTATCGTTCATAGTGTAAAACACAAAAAAGAAATCGAGAGCGAAGCTGATCTTCTCTTTTGTGCTATTCTTGAGAGTTCACTGAGATGAAATTATAATCCTTTGCACGTACTAACTTACATAAACCAGAAGAATCATGTTTGAACATGTCATTTCTCTACTTTAAAACCGATCTTTTCATATCGAATTTATCCGAACAAATATAATCTGTGCGACGATTTCGTTTAATAATCATCGAATAGAGAAATGTTCTAATTAGGAATTAGTTTTACACGATGAAAGTCGGTGTAGATAAACGAACTTTTCTACTATTATCTCTCGACATACCCACGTATAATTGCTCACTTAGATTTATTCGATATGTCGATGTCTACGTATTCTTCTCTTCTTTCTCTATTCACACGAATTCAATTGATTTTATAAAGGTGTGTATAAACACGTTCACAATCCATTAGATGTTTGTATATGTCGTTACTTTATCTTTTTAAACTTGCCATAGTCGTGCGTATGTGTGTATAAACAATTTATGTTAGTATTCAAGGCACAGATGCGCTTGTCCGATGGAGATGTCTTGTTATTTTTCGGAGTTTGATCATTGGAGAGTTAAGGTAAAACGAAGAACGAGAGGTGATTGAAGTGTTTTTGTTTGATTATACAGATGACGAAAAAGAAAGATTACGCATGGCTGTGCTCGTCTCAAGTTGAAATTGAAATTGATATCTGGATTTAGTTGAGTCGGAATAATCTATCCTTTGTGAACGAAAAGTGTAGAATATTAGTGAATGATAATGTTAATCATTTGAACAAGATGCAGCTGTGACTTAAGTGTCTCATAGTTTGAAGTTTTTCTTTTGCTTTTTCAAGCTGACTCATGTATAAATCCAAGTTGACGACTGAATCAGCGAATATTTCTTGAGTTAATTTATGAAACACGTCTCATGGATAAAATGTGCATAATATTAGTATTGTAGCTGATCTTTTGCTTATTTTCACAGATCTACTATCATTTCATGCTGCGAAATATTGTTAGATACAAACTGCATTTCTATCGATAAGTTTAATTGCTTGAGCAGTGATTCAGCTTCTTATTTACAATCAGAGAAATAAACGAAGGTGAGTTTTTCTTCTGATTGATTCGAGAAAAAGGAGAAAAAGAAGAAAAAAAGCTTCAAAAGAGAGAATTTTTTGCTCAAAGAGAAGAGGTTAAAAGGCAAAAGAGTTTGCATCTACATTTCCCGCCGTTTTCCGTTCTAATGTAGTTCACAAGTAGTTATATATAATCTTCTTCATTTTCTTTTCTTTTATGTATGTGTGTACACGAAACAGGGAATAGAGGAAGGTCACAAGCTCGTATTGCTCTTCGTTTTCTCATTCCTCAATGAGCTTAGGTGTCCGTATAGACGCGTGCATACTTTGAAAGAGAAGGAGAGAGGAAGAGAGAGAAAAAGAAGTAAGAAGAATTCTTCTAGTTCATTGTACTCTTGTCGGACACGTATATACATGCGTAATAATCGACCGGGTACCACTTGTCGGCTTGTTATTGACTCAAATGTTAAAATGAATGTGAGAATATGAATGAAGCAAAGATTGGAATGTAGGCGATGAGGAAGAAGAAGTGATATTTCAATCGATGAATCATTTTTATTTCTCCTTTGACTAATTGACAATTCTATCACTATTATTGGATCTTACCTTGAATCGGTGGGTGGATTTGATTTACGATTTTTTTTTCTTCTCTCTCTTCATTTATATACGACGCATTCGAATACAGATCCATTTCTATTCATATAAATCCATGATATATCGACTGTTTATAATATTTTCTTTCAGATAAATCATAAATTTATTTAAATGGCTCTTTTCTTCGTCGGCTACTTACTAGCAGTAGCAAGTACGGTTGCATTTATTGTTGCGATTTTAACTCCGAAGTGGATTTATCCAAATAATCTTCCCGTTTCGGATGCAAATCCTGCTTCTCCGGCTGAGTCCAACTATCAGGGAATCTTTTATGTCGATCAAGGCTTTGCGAATAACACATGTCGTGATTGGATTCTTACTCCCAAAGATTCCGTAAACAGTTGCCGTCCTAGTATGTTCATATTCTGATATTATTTCATCAAAAGAAGTTTTTGTTTAGCTTATGCGGTTGCTTGCGCATCGTTGGCCATAGTTGCATCTTCCTTATCCATCATTCTCCTTTGGCTTGCTGGTGCCTATCTCTACATCCGTCGTCGACGTCTCGCTCCTCATTTCGTTACGTTTCTAGCAGCATTGACATTATTAATATGTAAGTCATCAGACAAATTTCAAATCGATCGAATATCCTTTTTCCAATTTCTTTCAATTAGTTTTTATCAGCGCAATCATCTGGATCGTTATGATTACCATGAATCGTGATATTAATATGCGAATACTTCGGCAGAGTATCGGCTTTTCAACATGGATTGCTGTTGGTGCAAGTGGCGGTTATTTGCTTACATTCATATTATTTGGTCTGTATCGTCTCGATCTTGGCCACCGAAGGTATCTCAAAGAAATGGACTATTCGCGTCGTTTTTAGATACATATTTCTATCGGAAAAAATAGATATGTTTTGTACATATAACTCTTCGATTGTCACTTTCTTGCTCGAATCTATGTNGGACGATAAGAATCGGAGTCCATGCCATCGTTGATAGTTGATACGAACAAATGCTTGCGACGTCGACGACGAATAATTCTATGACTGTCACCTTCATCTATCTCGGCATATGTTTTCTATCCTACAGTTACCATCTCTGTTTCATCTTGCCATCGCACAGATATGATTTATATAAGATAAGAGAGAGGAGAGAAGTAACAGTTCAGATGTGTTTATTTATATATCTATATTTGTATATATAAGTTATCTTACGTGCTGATGTAAGCCTATTAAAGAAGAAAAATAGTACGGTTTTCCTTGTTCTGCCACTGAGATATGTACATCGGATACACTTAATGTCCTCTATTTTTCTTTCTTTTCTATTCTTTTCTTTGGCGAACTGTTGCGGAGGTAAACTTTCCGTTCTTCGTTTTCGTCTAGGTCGTCGCACCAATACGAGAGACCGGCGCCCAAGCACTAAGTATTATTTGTAATCGTTTGTATGACCAACCGCAATGTTCAACGTTAATTTTAATTCTTCTAAATCTCTTGAAATACGATGGGACTTGGGAAATTCGACATGGAGCTTTAGTCACTCTAAAATATGTGTTCAGCATTCTCAAAGTAAGTGGAAATACGTTGAAGGAGTTGGACATGAAAAGAATATCTTTTACAGGAAATACCCGAACAAATTCGAACTCAATGTGTTCAAGGTGTCCGAAAGTGTCTCGAAGACGAGTCCGACGACGTCGTGGCTACAGCTGCAGCAACCTTAATACCCCTTGTGGCACAATATGAATCTGTAAGAGATAGGAAAATCAAAGATTCACACTTAATTTTATCTTTTGTCAGGTTGTTCTCGATTGTGCACCTGGACTAATCGGTGAATTGATTAGATTACTCGACACAATGGATGATTTGAACGCAGCTGCTAGTTCAATCATGAATCTTCTAGCCAAATTACTCGCATCTAATTCAGCAGAAAAGTAAGGCCTATTGTGCTCTCTCAAGTTGATATTCTGCTTCTTTTTCTTTTACGAAAAAGATTTAAATTATCGTTTGCTCATGTTCTACCAAAAATCTTTCCATTCTGCCGTCATCATACCCTACCATTTCGTTTAGCTGCTGTTCAAACTGTGATGAAAATCATCGAAGCTAGTCAAGTAATCTAACACTCGAATCTTTTCATCGCACGATTTCTTTCCATTCATTCTAGTCAAAATTAACTGCATGTTCTTCGGAAGAATTAGCTGTGCTAGAACATACATTTCGTCTACTTTTCGAACGAGCTATTCTCGAATCAGATGAGAAGGTTTTGGCATCAATCGAACAAGTAACTAACATCTTATCTGCTTGATTCTTTTCCCTATTCAACTCTTTTTAGGCATGGAATATTCTATGTCAGACCAATACTCTTGTGCAACAATGTACCGCATCATCTTATCAACGATGGATTTGTTTATCTGTACATCCTGCTAAAATACCGATTAATCCCTTGTGGTTAATAAATGACGATCAACCTCAACAAGTAATTGAAGATTCAATGAATCTGAGCTCATCTAATATTTCGCTTTTCCCCCCATTTCGATAGTCTACATCGATTGTTGAAAGAGATGATCGACAGTATTTGAATAGTTCAGCAGCAAACAATCAGCAATATTTAGCAATGGGATTCACAGTATGTCATCAGGAAGCACCTCTAGAACATGATCGTGCAGTCAGCCGGTGTCGACGTTTAGCCGCTCGATTACTTGGTCGACTATTTGTTCACTACGATCAACAACAAGCGCACGATGTTTTAAATTATTTGACTCAACATTTGAACTATCGTTCCGCCGTACAACGGATGCTTGCAGGAATGATTGCGAGCGAATGGGCGAAAGTAAGATGCGAAAAGAAATCACAGAAAGATTTTTCATCTGATCTACTGAAGAATTTGACGGAATGCTCATTGAATACAACTGGTCTTCAAGAACGGTTAAATCATTCACTGAATGAGACGATTTATTTCGATGAAATAGCACCATCATTTACGAAGTTGAAGCGCGATTTTACATCATTCATGCACGAATGTGCGCGACAAAATCTGTGCAGTCAGCAATCAATCGCCTCGATCGAGTAAGTCTATCAAACAAATCTTCCCTATCAATCGAGACACGTTCCCTTTCACGTCGATTATATTCCTATAAACTAGACGTGAAAGTTTTGTGTAACTCGAAAAAATAATCAAGCAATGAACCTCTCTGGGTTGTATTCGAAAGATTAACGAATACATTCTTTGTTCCAGTTCATACAAGATTTGTTCTCTTCATGAATATCATCGCGAGTTTTTCCTTATAGACTGCATTCGGTGGATCATATTATTGAGTTATGTAATAATGTTCATTCAAGTATTGATAATCATCCGCAATTGAATGGACAAAAACAGAATATTCGTGACGAGGCTCAACGGATACAAAAAGAATCGGAGACACTTTCACTTAGGTAGGATTTTCTCGATAATTAATTACGATCGCATCGATAAGACATCCCTGTTGTTTCTTTTTCTGAATAGATCAACAGCTTATTTAGCATCGGCGTGTGTCTATTGGCGTTTTCTTGGCGAACAACTTAATCCATTAATTCGACCAATGATGGATGCAATAAAAAAAGAATCTGACCCATCTATTCAAGTAGGAAATGCTTATGTATGATATAACATCTCATCGATCGTATCAATTTAGGACGATATAGCGAATGCGGCAGCAGAACTTATCTGGCAATGTACACAACGTACCACAACTCCAAATCCTAATAATAAAATCATCAAAAATTTATGCAATTATGTCTGCGCTGATTCGGATGAATCTCCGCATGTAATCAGCCCGACGCGTTTCACAGGTTGGATCAGCGTTGTATTTGAAAAGGTCTCGTTTATTAAAGCGTTTTAGAATCCGGTGAAGCACCTTCAAATGTTAACGAAGAATATAGTTGTACCACTCTAAAAGGTATTTATACATGGCAAAAAACGAATAGTGTAAGTGTACGCAAACTAATCTCAGATGTTTTCCCTTTGAATTGAACGTTTATTTCTGGTGATTTTATTTAGGATGATACTTCAAAGAATACATTGACACGTGATTCTTCTGGTGATTCAACACCTACACCGTCTTCAGCTACTTCCAATGCGAGAAAATTTGTAATTTCTTCTAGAATTCACAACCGAAATAACTTTTGAACCTTCTCTAGAGTTTCGATACATCGACTAACAACGATTATTCTAGACATGGAGGAGAATCTACTCTAGCTGCAATTTGCCGTCGATTCGGTACTGAATTACAAAGCAAATTACCTGATCTATATAATCGAGTCGTCTCCAATCTGGAACAATTCACCGATGGTACGTCTTTTTTTAATGTTAACCAAATGAAAACTGCTTTGTTTTATTTCAAGAACTGTGTAAAACACAATCGACTGATGATGCACAACATCTGGCAGATACATTACAAATCCTCACGACTCTTATTCCACATCTTCATGATACAATTTTAAACGATGTAAGTATTGTTTTTAAGCATCTGTAAATACATATTGCATTGTTTTAGTACTTGAAACTCTTACCAAATATATCGCGATGCTTATCATCAAAATATACAGCTGTACGATATTTCACAGCACGTTGTCTCGGTGTTTTCTCGATGTATAAAACCGAACATGTATTCAAACACATTATCGAATTCATCCTTCCGAAACTAACAAATACGAACATGGACACAAATTATTTACAAGGACCCATCGAAGCCCTCTTTCGTATGTTGAAAACATGCACAAAACAAAGTTCTTTTCACTTTCTAATAATCTAGATATAATTGACAAACAAGCACTTAACATTGTCCCATATGCGAGTTACTTAATGATACCTTGTATTCAATCGATGACACACCAGGATTGGTATATACGATCCACAGCCAGTAATTGCTTCGCCGTTCTGATTAAATATTATGCTTTGAGTGTAAGCAGTTTTCGAGGTTGTATAAAATGAAGATAAAGGGATTGTTTAGAATGACGATAAAGCAACTGGAGAGAAAAACGGAACAGATAATGGCGATTTTCTTGAACAACTTTTTGATAACAGAAAAATGCCTGTGTACCATTTACCAATGCCAGTTAAAGTGGATATTCGACCATATCAACATGTATGAAATTTGAAATTTGCTCGTTCAACAAACATTCTCTTGTCTTTGTTGTAGGATGGCATCAATTGGTTGATGTTTCTCAAACGATATAACCTCTCGTGTGTTTTAGCTGATGATATGGGTTTGGGAAAGGTAAAAATAGAATCATTTCTTCTCTGGTGTGCTGTATTGTGATGTTGGTAGACATTACAAACGATTTGTGTTCTTGCTGCAGATATTGTTGAACGACGGAAGGAGGTTTGTAGAATTTCACGAGTGATTCGATGGGATGAAATTCTTATTTGTTTGAAATAGAACCTAGAAATTCGACCATCGCTTGTTGTTTCACCACCGACATTAACACGACATTGGACTAGTGAAATGAATAAATTCGTTAGTGAAGATATTCTACGACCATTGCTCTATTCCGGAAAGAATCTAGCTGAACGTGATGGGTACGTGTTTCTATTTATCAATTTCTTGAGTGTTTACACATCAATATTTAGATTACGAAACAAATATTTACAAAATTTCAAGGAATACACTGTCATTGTGGCGTCCTATGATGTTGTTCGTAGTGATATTGCGTTTTTCTCGTAGGAACATCGTTCGACGCAGCTTTTCTGTCATACTAAAACAGATTCGTTTCATAGGTCAGTGCCATTCAATTATTGTGTACTGGACGAAGGTCATGTCATTCGAAATTCGAAAACCAAATTATCAAAAGCTATCCGTCAGATACAAGCAGGTACGAACTTTCACTCTATTTCAATCATTTAACGGATTGTCTATTTTCTAGCTCATCGTCTTATACTATCCGGTACACCAATACAAAATAACGCACTTGAACTATGGAAATTATTCGATTTTCTTATGCCGGGTTATTTGGGTTCGGAAAAACAATTCATTCGTCGATATCAAAAACCATTGATTGCCTCCAGTCGAGATCGTGATCTTGAGCACGGTAAGAACATCAATTTTGCATTAGGTTTCAAATCAATTCCTATTCATTCTTATTAAGGACAACTGGCGATGGATGTTTTACATAAACAAGTCAAACCATTCATGTTACGTCGTCTGAAAACCGATGTTTTAGACGACTTACCGCCGAAAATCTTACAAGATTATTATTGTGATTTAAGCTCTATCCAGTGTATGCTCTATGAAGATTTCGCTAATAAAACGAAAGAACAAGCCAGATATTCTGATAACGATTCACAGAATCAAAATGGAAATTCGTCGACAGGTCATGTCTTTAAGGTAGGGAAAAGCTCCGAACGAAGTCATTAGTCTCCTGCTTTTCATCTAGGCTTTGCAATATTTACGAAAACTGTGTAATCATCCTGCTCTAATTCTAACGCCCGAACATCCCAAATGGATTAATGTACAAAACGAATTAAAAGAATCCCATATTAGTCTGAATGACATTCGATTATCCGGCAAATTACTTGCACTTAAGTAAATCATTTGACTAATTCTTTCTCGAATGTTTATTTGTCCTTCTGTACAATAGAGAGCTTTTCATCGAGTGTGGAATTGGTGTATCAAAAGATGCTGTTGTATCAACTCATCGTGCATTAGTTTTCTGTCAAATGAAAGTCATGATTGATGTCATTATCAATCAAGTCCTTGGGTATGAAGTTATCTTTCGGATTTCGAAACTGGTGATTCGTTTTTTTTTATAGAACTATGGAAAATGTTAGTTTTCTTCGTTTGGATAGTTCATTGAGTGCTGTCGATCGTTTTAATACAGTTAATTTATTCAATTCAGATCCAAGTATTGATCTTCTTTTACTTACGACACATATCGGTGGTCTCGGTTTAAATTTAACTGGTGCTGACACAGTTATTTTTGTTGAACATGATTGGAATCCAAGCAAAGATCTGCAAGCAATGGATCGGGCACATCGTATCGGACAAAAGAAAGTTGTCAACGTCTATCGACTAATCACACGAAACACCATCGAAGAAAAGATTATGAAGTTCGTCTTGGAGTTTTATTTAAATTTCTGTAGTTATTTTTCTTTCTTTAGTCTTCAACGATTCAAAACCAATCTGGCGGATACTGTCTTAGCTTCAGATAATAATTCATCTAGTTTACTAAATTTAGATCGAGAAACGAATTTGATTGATCTTATATCGTTAGGCGATGAAGCGAAAGGACAATCGCTGTTAGCGGACAACTCGTCAAAGAAATCGACTAATAATAACAAGAAGCAAACACTAAAAGCAATACTTGATACATTCTCGGAACAATTGGACAATGATGAAGAATGTTACAGTAATGAATACGATGTGAACAAATTTGTTCAACAACTTTGAGAACAATGAAGATACTGTGAATCTCGTGATACGATTATAAATTATTTAAACTCGAATTCATCATTCTGTTTGTTTTCTTTTGACGTTAATAAAATTAAGGGACTTTTCTTTTGGGATGTTTCATTCACACTTCATTTCGAATTTGCATTAACTGATTAAAACACGGAACAGATTAGAAAGAAATACTGAAATGCTTTCACATTGTATTCGTACTCTCTACTTACACCTCAAGGTTTACTTTACGTAATTCCGGAAAGAAAACATCGACTACTTAATTACTTCCATTTATATTGTTCGCATTCAAAATAACTCGAAAACCCCCACAGCAGCACATTTTCCAGGCACTATTGTTTGCAAAACATTACCACGTACGTTTTCTTTTCAATAGTGAAAGACGTAGATCATTCGATGCAATTTCTAACCGTGGATCTTCAAGGTCGATGAGAAGTCTAAATTTATTGTGTTATCAATCTAACGAATTACAAATAGCATCTGATAAATACTGATACAAAACACATACAATAAAAAATAAAGATCACAAAAAAAGAGAACAAGAAAATCATTGCAAAGATGTAAAGAGAGATTGAGCTGAACATATATACACACACATATACATACGAAGGGAGAAAGAGAAAAAGCGACTCAAAACATATTCTCATACTCTCTTGGTCGGCCACAATAAAGTTGACAAAAACTTTTGATAGAAATTTGAGAGATGTAAACAAATAAATACACTTCTATTTACATATAGAAATGCTTGGAGAAGATTATACTATAAACAAAACAGATTGTGTAAAGTCTATGTAAGGTTCGTGAGGTACATATCTGAGTGCAGCGCGTTACCGATTTGGTATTTGTTCAGATGTTATTGTTGTGGGAAGAATAGTAGCAGCTGCTTCAGCTTGATCGACTGCAAGTGAAATTGAATGAATCGGTGTAGGTGAAAAGTATTGACTAGAATTGTTCAGTAGATGATTTGATGATTTGATTTTGATTGCTTCGTCATAAGGCGGTGGAATATCTATAATACAAAGCGAGTAAAATACGAGCGATTTGGGTAAATTAGCATTTACCAATGAAATGTAGAACACTTTGCTCATAACTTGGCAAGCCGACATGCAATGAATTTGAATATCGACTAAATTCTCTAGAGAATCATTCCATTAGCGAAATTGCCTTGTGTCAATGTATAACTACATACCTGCTATCCATAGTGACAAGATTGGCTGCGCCAGAATTTTGAGCGTAGTATCTGGCTTGCTAAAAAGAAGTTTTCAAGACTTAAATTGTTCGAAAAGGAAGAGACTGCGTTCAGTCTTACCCGCATTCGTTCGGCATTCAGTTTTCGTAAGGCAATTAGAATTTTTTCTGCGGATATCCAATACATTAATGCAAATATGATGCCAATTCCACTGAACACAAGAAAGAAGGTAGATTAAATTTCATCTTTTCGTTATCTTTCTTACCCAAAAACAATAAACGATACAGAAAATCTTTGTTTTTCAAATGAAGCAAGAAGAGAACCGGCGACAATCAATAAAATTCCAAATACTAAAGCACGCAAACGAAACAAATAAGACCAAGGTGATGTTTATTTGCAGTACTAACCAAGAAAAGTCACTGCTGAGAGTTTTCTTTTTCTTGCTAAACTCTCAATTCGTAAATGTGGTGAATTGTGTGGATTGGCAGATGTTGAAGTTGCCATGATAATATGAATGGCATCCATACTCTCGTTTCCTTTTGTTGTCGAAATCGTTTTATTTACATTCTGAAAAAAAAAGAATGAAAATTGATTTGACTTGAGTCTAGACGCAATTCAGGTCATGTCAACAGAATGAAATCAACCAATAAATCGTCATAGTACGACAACCTATCGTTAAAGAAATCTCATTGGCGCAATGGCCTGCACCAATCAAAACGTTAGTTAACAGGTTATTGTTATTGTTCTTGGTCAAGCATTAGCTCATCCATTCCTAGTCAATGTCAGGCAGTGGCGTGGAACGTTCAAATTTTCGTGGGAACAGACCTTTGTCGTCCAACCCTCCCCATTCCATATGTGTGACGGATAGGAAAGTTGTGTCATTTACACATTTATGGACAATTGATCATTTTCAATCGTATCTTGGTTCGTAAGATTTGTTCATTTTCTATTGATAAAATCTCAGTTATTGTCAATTTCAGATGATCCGCAATCACCTCGTGTTCTTTTCAGTTCTTATTTTTCTCCAAATTTTGGTCCACATACTGATACAAGGTTTGTTAATGATCAATTTTCATCAGATTTTCTTGACTTTCATCATTTCAGCTGGTGTTTGAAACTTTATCCAAAAGGCGTTAATGAAAAGTCTGTTGAATACATTAGTCTATTTGTCAAATACGTTCGTGGCCGTACGGATCTACAAGCTAAAGCTGAATTTTCCCTGATCAACAGTCGTGGAGAGTTTCATATCGTTCGTAAAACTCCCTATCACATCTTTCCAACAGGCGGTGATTGGGGTTATTCAGAATATCTCATGCGAATGGTGTTGACTACTCAACGAAAATCCGAATTACTCAATGCTGATCAAAGTTTGAAAATTTTTACGCGGGTGATAATTGTTGGTGAATCTTCCTCGTCGATAATTCATGAAGAGAAAAAGAACACTTATGAAAGTCTGGCCTCCCTATCATCACATTTAGGTTCATTATTAACTTCAACAAAAGACAACTGTCATGATGTGACCATTATCGTACGGCCACAACATTTCAATACTTTAGCCTACGAACATAAATCACACGACACACCCTCGTCATCGTCGGCGTCTTCATCGCCTATCGATGGAGCCAAATCGTCATCGAAAAAGGCGAACAGCAATAATAGTAGTAGTTCTAGTGTAGGAAATAATCGAACAAAACGTAAACGATATAGTACAAACTCAGGTGGAAGTAATGGTGCTGGTGAATCATCTGGTGAAACGAATAATGATGAAACAACATCTACAGCATTAGCTATACCGTCAACACCAACAACGATGACATTCTACGCTCATCGGAGTATATTGAGTGTAAGTGCGATCTATTCCAGTTGTTTTGTTTTCTCAAAATGTATTGTTTTTTTTTCAGGTTCGTAGTCCAGTTTTCGCTGCGATGTTTTCTCATTCGATGCTTGAAGACCAAAATTCGACCATTGAAATAACTGATTTACAACCCGAGACAGTTCGTGCTTTGCTCGAATACATCTATACATCGAATGTCGAAGAGATCGACGAACACAATGCTGTAGAAATCTTCAAAGCTGCTGATAAATACGAATTAGAATTGCTGAAACAACGTGCAGAATTAATCATGATGAATTCTTTATCCGTTTCGAATTGCACCATGCTCTACATAGTTGCTGATTTACACAATGCACACGAATTGAAAAAGCGTGTTTTGAATTTCATTATGCGCAATATCCTCGAAGTGACAGAAAGTGACGATTGGCGAATCTTAGTTGAACAACATCCAGCATTAGCGACCGAAGCATTTGTCTACTCGGCTGAACATGCTGCATCATGTGCTTGTTCATCCTAATAATGTGTGAAAAAAAAAGTTCATTTGTTTTTTCTTCCTCTTGTTTTATCTCGTGTATATAAATAAAAAAAGCAACTAAACTGTTTGTGTATATGTTTTAGATGTCTGCATATCAGAAATCTCGCGGTGGAAAGGATCAGTTTGAGTAAGTTAGAATAATCAATGATTTTGTTTCCTATGAATGTTTATTTAGTTGGGATGCAGCTAGATCAGACAGAGATCGAGATTGCTGTTCAGGACATTCGGGCAAAGCATCAACCAGTCGACGGCAAGAAGGAAAAGATGCATCAAAGTATGTATATTTGGAGAGACAACTTATCTTTCTATGTGCTTCTTTAAATACAGATATTCTAAAACTCAAGGAAATCAAGTCCAAATCAAGTCAGCAGAATTTCGCGCAGCTAAAAAGCTGGAAGAAGATGCATTGATGGCCGCTTTAGGCATGAAACCATTACCAAGTTCGTTTTTTTATATCGCTATATGCATTTTATTTGTAGTAATTTTCAGACGCTGTTGCTGCTGCTGTCGCTACTCCTATTCAACAACAGAAACCGGTGATTAAACGTGAACTCCAATCAACTTCAGTAAAAAACGAACCGATGACACCAGCCATTCATGGTGATAATCGTCATGGCAAACATCATGATCAGCCAAAAAGTCACGACAAAAAATGGAAAGAAGATCGACGAAGACGCCGACAACAGAAAGCAGCTGGCTCTGATGAAGATAAACATGATTGGTCAGCAAGTGAAGATAGCGAAGCAGACGATGATGAAGAGCAGGATAAAGATACGAAAAATGAAGCTGCTCAGCCAGATTTAATGACTGAAAAAGATCTTGACGAATTTCTTGTTGATCTCGTTAAGAAACATGGACTGAGAACAATACAACGCGCATTAAAATCAAAGAAGTATGCATCGTTTATTCAATGACATCGAAAACTATCCTGTCTTCTTGTTTAGGGATAAAAAAGATCGTAAACAAAAGCATAGTTCACGATCTGTATCATCTCAATCGGAATCAGAAGACGAAAAGCGCGAAAGCAAACAGAAACATAAGAAAAAGCATTCTCATAAAGAAGAATCACATTCCAGCAAACGTCGTCGGACACGTTCCCCATCTTCGTCTAAAAACGATCGTTCAAAACGTCATTAACCCATCTGTTGTTTTCGTCTTATTTTGTTTTTTTTGTACAAATGAATCTTTTTCATTGGATTAAAAGTTGAAAATGAACTAAGAACAAGTGAATTCATCTCTCATGACCTCTCCATATTGCAGATATGCTCACCCGATTGTATTCATCTATTTTCCGCTCCGCTTGTCTTCAACGTTCGTTTGCTGTGTGTAACACGTTACGTTTACATTCAACAACAAGTTCAGCTAAAAAAGATTCACAGAAACCGGCAACGAAAATTAAAACACCGGTGGGTAAATTGGATGAAAATGCG